AGCGAGGAACGGGGCTGTGCCTCGCCCCGCGCTCCGTGGTGCGCACCGCTGGCTGCAGCAGGACTAAACCAGCAACGCTTCCACCCATTGCCTCGACATCGGCCTCACCCCGATGCTGTAGGAAAGCTCAAACCTCCTTCCTCTGTGAAATAAGAGCGTTTATTGGGTAAATCGAGTCGTGTATGAAAACGAGGGTGTTGGACGTGGTGGGAGCTCTGACCGCGCACCTGCAGCCTGGCCCCGGCGCTGTGCGCGGCCAAACCCTGCGGTCCCCGGTGCATTGCGGGATCTGGGATGGATAAGGGAAAGCTCGGCTGCGAGCATCTCCCCGGTGACGTGTCGGGATGAATGGGAACAGCTGACACAGCCAGGAGGAGTTACAGTGCTTGAGAAACATCGTGATTACCGAAGAACAATAAATATTGACTTTATAAATGCATATTTGCAGCTGGTTTATTGTAAACATTAAAACTACCAGGCAGCAATTTCGCCTGGTTGCTTTTCTCTTATCCTAGCCAGCAAGCCCTTAGACAGGCCCAACAGAGATCAAACAGGTCAAATTGGAGGGAGGAGATCCACTTGACAACAATTTCTGACTTGTGAGGTCTCTGCCCTCAGTGAATACCCCAATGACCACATTTGTTCATATTGCAGATCCTGATGTGATAAATGAAGCCAATCAAGTATCTGCTGTAGATTTATGCACTTCTTCCGAAAATTAAACCCTTGGTACTCGCTGAACAACTTCAGGAGGACACACATGGAAGTCCAGGAGCTAAACCAGCATAATTCCTAATCATTGAAGTATTGCAGAGAACTCTTATAACCTACCATAGGAAAACAGAAACTTGGCCATAAATTTCCCTGTCTAGGCTTGCAACCTCAGCACAAACTACATGTCAGCAGCCTCTTAACTCATCACTTTCAGATGCAATATGCAAGTCAAGGCTGCTTTAACATTACTAGTGAATACATAACATAAGTCAATGCTTTGGGGAAAAAAAATACTGTTTCCCCTGTTTGCTTCAGCCTGGTGAAGTCCCTGTGCTCTGTGCCACCAGTGGCAGCCTGCAGAGTACCCCACATCATTGCTTCATCTCACCTAATTAGAGTTTACCTTCTGCAGATTACAACATGGGATTAATATTAAGCAACAGAAGTGCTGCTTACCATCAGCCTGATCCTGAAAAGTGCTGAGCATCGTGCAGGGGAATTCTAGTTCAGCATTTTCTCATAACTAGGCTAGAAACTTAACAACTCCATTTTGTACTAATAAAGTATTGTATGTTTTTATAGCTCCAGGTTTGGGAAGGGTTTTCAATTTCTTCCCACAAATCAGACCCCAAAGGAATCACTGTGCCCACTAAAGCAGATGTAAGCAAAAAAATCTTCAGGAAATGCTTATGACACTGCAGGGCAGGGACAGAGTTAACTGCAAAAGCCAGTGTAATCGTAAATCATTCAGCAAGTTAAACCCAGGGGAGGCACCGTTCTGCTGTGGTACAGACACGCTTCACATCCTGACAATACCATGCCCAAGCTGCACCTACTCCTGTTGCGTTCAGTGATGCTGCTGGTGGGTTGGGACCTGACCTGGTGTACATCCACCCTGCAGCCCCTGGGGTCTGGGCTGATTCAGAGGGCAGGCAGGAGCAGACAGGAGGGACAGTGGGTAGCAGAGGTGCAGGATTCACATTGACAGCAAGACGTGTACAATGTGCCTTTCCCACCTTCTAAACCCCTGCGTTACAGCGAGGCTGCCCGGAGGTGAAACAGTTCGGTGTCCACAGCAGCTCGCAGCGGCGGTGCTGGTCAGGCAGCACAGATCTGGCACGGCTGCAGACCGCTTTCGTTGCAAGCCGGGCAGCGCAGGGCCCGGTAGGACTCTCTGAACCTGTTTGCCAGCATTGAAAACTTGCTTCCATGGCACAGCGAGCAAGGGGCAGAGCCTGACCCTTTACACTGGGAGCAACCATGTTCAGCATCTCCTTCCTGAAAAAGACAGGCCGCAGAAAAGATCTGTTACTGGATATCAGACACCAAAGTCAGTAACACACTTGAAAGAGAGAAGTGCTGTCTTCTGGTCTTGTAAGTAGTTGTTGCTCCTGATATGCCACTCTGCCAATAATACTCAGTTCTCAACAGCAAGATCTTCAAGTAAAAGGGGACAATTTGTGGGTACTTCTAGAAAGTGAGAAGTTAACATGATAGGGCTCACAACACAATACGTTCAAACTCATCTTTCTCCTCCTGCCAGGCTCTGCACAGCACCTGGCTTCCTGTCATTCAACACATCCTTCCTCCAGGCTCTGCATCCTCAGTTTGGAGCTTCATTTTCTGAGTATTTCTCCTCGCACTCTCCCCCCACATCCCTGACCACCGACAGACCCAGCTTCTTTCAAGCCATCCCTCGTGCCTGCACCTCCCTCCGGGGTGCCAGACCACCTCTTTCAAACCCCAGCTTAAAACTCAGTGCTTCCACAGAGCCCAGAAATATGGAATGTCTGCATCAGGAAGAGTACAGCACAGCATAGGTTCACTCTGTTGATGGCAGGTTCAGAGTCCTGCATCGTTCCTGCGCACCCGTTCTGCTTTACATGGTGCTATAGAGCGAGGGCTTAACTGAGAGCTGGTGACTGATGTGCTTCATATTGGTGCCTGCTTATGAATTTGATCATCCAAATTAATTGACTTTTCAGAATAACAGCCTTGCTGTGGTTTGGTCATCTTTAAATAAATGTTCATAATACTAATGTATAAAGAGTCCAAAATTATTCTTAAAGAAGCATAGTTTTAGGACCTTCAAGTTCTATTTTTTGTTCCCAAACATCAAGGGGAACAGAAGTTCTTCCAAGGTTAACAAGTTTCTCTGGTACAATGCCTTACAGGAGTTGTTGTCCTCCAAAGCATGCTCCTTAGTGAGGGCAACTGGAGGAAGGTAATCAGTTACCTTATGGAGGTCCTTCTCCAAATGTATCCTCTCAAATGCCAGAGGTGATTTTTTTGGTGGCTCAGATAGGTCCTGCCAGTAATTGGATCTTGGCTCTTATGTTAAAGCCCTCTTTCTGAACATGAAGTTTCTTTCAAAGCTGGTAAAGGCCAACATTGCTCCTCGGTGTCTCAGGGTTGTTGCAGGGTCTCCATACATGAAGCCACAGGCAAGGCTCAGGGCGACCTGCATCAGATCGGTCTCAGATCTGTGAAACCGGAATGTTTCATGTTTGCCCTGCATGACAACATGATGTTTTGTGGGATCAAATTATGGTTGGACTAATTGGGATACTGACCAACAAAGACTAACCCGTGAGAAACAAGTGGAAGGCACAGTCTTATTTTGGCTGATATTAAAATGTTAGCCTCCAGCAGTCTCAGCCACAGAGCAGCTGTGTTTAGCCTGGGCAGGCTGGAGAAACCTTGGCCTGCTTTTACGCCAGTGGGAGATGGTGACAAAGGATGGACCTAAGCCAAGCTATGTAAACATCAGTGGCCCCCAGGGGAGGCATCAAATGGGAGACTTGAGCATCTGGAAACAGGACAGCAGCCCCCAGAGTACACACTGCAGTGCAGCATTGGTCAGTTATCTCCCGAGTGGAAAGAGGAACAAAGCCATGCTTTTCATCCAAATTCAGTTAAGTGCCAGATGTAGAAATAGATGGGCCTTGGCTGGGAATACTCAACTCCAAAACCCAACAGCCTTAGGAGAAAAATAACACTTTCCATTCTCTTACCTGCATGTGCTGGTTGCAGGCAACCTTTTTTTCCACATCTTTTCTATGTCCACTGCCAAATCTTTCTTTCTTTTCCCGATATATGAAGGCCCAGTCATTTATTCCCTCAGTCTGGACGATTCTTCTCATGAGCTCTTTCTGGTCCATCGGTGCACGGATGATTTTCAGATTGTTTGTGTAGATGATGATCTTGCCAAAGTCTAGAACTGGGGAAGCCTGGAAAAGGATCTTATCAGTGTCTCACCTGTACAAACATGCTCTACAACCACTGGTGGTCCCCAGGCTTCCAGAATGCTCCCTCCAGCCGGTCATGGCCTCAGCTGGTGCTATGGCATGAGTCCTCTCCGCATCACCAGAGCAGGGAGCAGGACAGGGCACAGAGAGACAGGCTGGGGATCAGACCAGGACTTCAGGTCAGGCCTTAGGAACCTCACTTTAACATCCCATTCTGGGTGCGGAAGGCTCTCTGGGATCTAAGTTCTCATTCCAGCCCATATGCAAGAGAAAATGAAGGCACAATTCTAAGAGCAGTGGTGTTGGCGCCTATGGAAAAGCAACCCCTGCACTGGGGACTAACCTGTGTTGCTTTGAAGGTTGAGTAGTTGGAGGGTGCTGGAGTCAGAGGGGGCTTTCATGGGTTTCACCAGAAGTAGGAATTCCCCACAAAGTTGACCTATTCTGCAGCCTTTAATGGGGTTTCTCAGATTTAAAAGAAAGCTTTTCTGTGTAATTTATTAATGCTGGCAAAAGGGTCAGATGATAAAACCCCTCATTACCCAGTGCTGAATTGTGTTCCTAACACCAAGGACCCAGTCCAACCAACCATCTCTGGGCTCATATTCTAGTGATTTGAAAGCAAAGCATGGTGCAGGTGAGAGCTCCTCTGACCGCAGCACTTTGCTGCCTGGCCCGTCTCCCCTCTGCGCTGGGGATTGGGTGGCAGTTCCCGCAGCCTATTGCTTTACACACTCTTCCTATTTCACTCTGTTTAAGTATCTGTGTCAAGCAGCAATGCAAAGGAGACATTCCCATAGGGAAACACCCTGCCAGGGTCACATGGGCCAGCAGGTCTCCTGGGAACCAGGCACCCCCTGCGCCACAGGGAGATGTGGGGATGGGGCTGGCGAGCCCAGATCCTGCCCCTTTAGAGAAGGCTTTAAAGCCTCACAGTTGTTACACAGACTTGGTGTCTCCACATACCAAATGTATGTTGATACTAAACAACACTGGTACTGGGCACTGTGATTACTCAAGGTATTTATGGTTATGGAAACCCAGGAACAGAGATGAGCATTCCCCAGGAATGCAGAACAAATTAATGTGTGGGTAAGATCACATCGGTGCTCTGGCTGCCAGTGGGAGAGAGTCATGGTGGTGTGGTGCTTTCAGTTAGAGTAGATGTCCAGTGTATCAACTAAACGTAGTCCAAATACCTGGGTAAGAAAATGTACCTAATCCCTGTGTATTAATCAATTTAACATATATTACACATGTACTGGCTTTTTAGTAAGAATAAAGAGACACTTCTCTATCAACCAGTGCCGTTAATTATACGTTAACAAAACATCCAGTGAAACTAAGCTGGGATTTCCAAAGTAGCCAAAGGGGAATTCCAACTTGCCAGGGGATGCAGATGCCTGGCTCAGACTCTCACTGGTACACACTGTTGGCACTAACCTTTTTGCCAGCAGAACTCATGCATCTTCAATGTTTTAAATATAACCAATTAAGATAATATCCCCCTTATATCTGCCTGGGTTAGAGGCATCAAAATTGCTATGTACAGATATTGATATATATGGAAATATTATTCCTCAAAATGGACAGATGCAAATGAACCCTGTGAGAAGCTGGAGCCCAGCAGATGCTGTTCACTTGCTGGCTGGCTGCTGCCAAGCACGCAGCTCCTGCCATTTGCAGAGCAAGCAGAATACAGGGTGTGTGGGGTAAGGATGTACGATCCCCCGTTAAACCCTGGCCTGTAACTGAGCTTTATCTGAGTGAGGCTCCGGTCCACGGCTGCTGCTCCCAGGGAGGTGGGTTCTCTGCCCGCTCCCAGCAGAGCGGCAGCACTTACCTTGCAGCGGCTGTCTCCGGGCTGGCAGTCGAGCAGAGGCGAGGTGCTGCCCAGGCCCAGTGTCTGCCCCTCTTTGAATATGCTGATCCGCTGGGCACTCAGCTTGGCGGGCGGGTACCGCCTGCCCTCGGGCAGCTCCCCGGCCCAGCGCTCCCCCGGCTCAAAGCAGTGGCGGACAACGCGCCGGGAGTGCTCTTTGGCCGGGAGCTCCAGCTCCTGCCCGTCCTCAAAGACCTGTTTCAGCACTCGGCCGCTGTAGGCAGACGAGATTTTGAAGCGCACTTTGCGGGGCCTCCCCTCGTGCCTCTGACTGAGCTTCTTCTGGGGCTCTTCCATTATTGGGATTTCTCGCTGCGGCTCCTGGAGATCAACTCCAAGAGCTGTGGGTCTAAAAGAAAACTCTGCCCAGCTTGCCCTTGCCACACAATGCATAATTCAAGGTTTCTGGTAGTTCCTCTCATCTTACAGCAACACTGACACCACTGTATTAAATATTGATAGATATTCACAAAGAGAAAATATCAGTGGTAGTGAACGACGAGGCAGCTGGGTGAAGGGTGGACAGTCTGGCTTGCCGCAAGAGGAAAGGAGTTAAACCGGGGAGGATCAGATTAAATAGGGAACTCTGCCCATGTTCTGAAACCATGGAAATGGTTCTGCTATGTGCTGTGATAAGAACTACCCCAAATACACCACCCCAGCAGCTTTTCACAGCTTTCTGACAAGGTGAGAAGTTAAAAAGACAAGTTCACAGAAAAAGCAATCCAGCTTCACAAATAGCAAATGTGAATAATTCTTCCATTCTTGCACTGAACCCTGAGAGTACAAAGCTCCATTTCATTCTAATCCAAATGTGTTCCTCTACAGGTTGTGGAGATCTAATTAAGATTTTCTCTCTTTAGCTTTCAGACCCTAGTTGTAACTCTTGCCTCCTTCCAGGGCCTTTTGACCATTTTGGGTTTGCTTTTCATGTTTAACAGACAGCGCCCTACCGAGAGCCACCAGCAGCCCCATCTGCTGCTCGTTTGCCATCCCTCACATGCGCTCAGGGAGCTCAGTGCAGTGATGCCTCCATCAGGCAGAGCAGAGGTTTGCCAGGGTGCAGAGCAGAAGGGGCTGGGCCCCAGCCCTGGCAGCCCTGGTCGAGGGGAGCTGCTCTGCACCACATGGCTTTGGGGGACATGAGTTCCCGCTGCCACGCTCAGCTCCAGCTCAGACTGCGACTCCCCAACACTCACACAAACCTGCGCCCTGAGGTACCTCCCCATGACAGCCCACCACAAATTCCCACCAGTGACCCTGGGCTGGTACCTCACTGGAGTGTGCCCTGTTCTTTCACTGAGCCCAGCCCCAGCTGAGCACTTGTGGCTCATCTTTTCTTCCATAGGAGAAAACAGTAGGTTTAGTGCAAAATGCATCAACAGGGTGCCTGCATCTCCTGATACCTGTTTGTACGAAGAAGACAGAACAGGAGTTGAAATCCCTCTTCTTTCACCTTCCAGGGTATCAGTACCTTTTCACTATTAAATGCAGCTTCATTGAGTGGGATTTGATCTAAGCTTTCTGCCTCCATCCTGCCAAGGCTATCTATCTGCTTGTAATCCACAGCCAGTGCTTCTAAAGCTTAACATTCTCGATAGATTCATCTATTGTGTTTATTAAAATCTGTTCACCAAATACTAGCACAACAGCTCAGAAGGCTGTAGGCTTATAATATACAACACAGACCCTGCAACCAACCGAGCAGCCTTCACGTGCCAAGAGCGGTTGCTGTCACGGCAGACGTCACTCATGCAGGTTCCTGGGGCTCACCGTAAGCACACGCAGGAGATGTGTGTTCCTCCATGCGGACATGCATGAACTCGCCTGGGTAAACATTCCACCACGGAGACGCCCTTTCCATTTCCAAAGCACTAGAAGGTCCGTGTCACTCTCCCATCCTATCTCAAGGAGGCGGACCTCACATTACACAAAACTCCTGATTTGCATGAATCAAACTGGGCTCTTGCTGCACTCGGGAAGCTTGATCCACCCCTTTCTCATGTCAGTCCCGTGTGAATCAGGCCCCAGCATTGCTGCTTTTTCAAAGGCACACAGCAGCCTCCATTTGACACAAACGCTGTTGTGCCAGATACCTTAATCGAGTTCATTTTCTTTTGATTAGGGGAACAATCAAAGAGGAAGCGAAGTTCAAAGCAGCAATGAGGGAACACAAGTGTGAGCACCACGGCTGTGAGACAAGCAAAGCAACTTCTTATCCTTACAGTTACTTACAGGTGCTGTCAAAGTACAACAAACCTGCCCTGGCCCTGTAATCTTCCCCTCGGAACGATCCCACCCTCTGCAGTGCTCTCGGCTGGGTTCGCTGCTCACCAAACCCCTCGGGGCTGCAGCCGGGGTGAAGCTCATCCTTTCACCCCGCAGTGCCATGTGAAGCCGTGGTTGGCACGCGGCGGCCGGGACTCAGGCTTGCTGCAGAGGGACCACGCACTCGGATACATACGGCCTTCTCTTTATGTCCCTCTACAGATAAATCTTGCAAAGAAAAGATTTCCAAACAGCCTTTCTGCATTTCCTGTTGTTCCAAAGAGCTCAGGTCAACCTTCCCACACTAAAGGCCCCAAGCAGGGACATCCGGGTGGTGTTGAGCTGTCTCCAAGCTGTACCCCTCTCACCCCAGCACTGAGGGCAGGCGCCAGAGCTGTGAGCTCCAGGATGGTGGATGGGCTGCAGGGAGCTCACTGCGCCTGCTACAGCCCTGCCAGCACAGCAGCATTCACACTGCGCTTGCATGTCAGTGTGGGCTTGTTTCCCACAGCTAGCACAAGTCTTGCTAAAAATACAATAATCATTTTGCATTCAACAGTGAAATCATTAAGTTTCATGATCTAGAGCACCACTGCACTATGCTTTGCTTCAGACTCTGTTCCACTGTATTGTAATGGCATCTGTCTTTCAAGCACAGAGCCTCTCTTCACCTTCCTCCCCACATCAGGCGATACCAAGCGATCGTTGAAAGCTGCTGGAGGCTTTGCACAACAAAGAGACAGTCCTTGCCCTGAGGAGTGTAACCTTGGTTTAGATGTATTGCAACAAAGCAGGGTATGTACAAAGAAGGACAGAAAAGCCATTGGGAAGTGGACTGTAAGGCTTTGAAGGCATGTTTCCACCTGCAAGTTTTGCTGAAAAATATTTGGTTGTGTTTTGCTTCCTCAGAGCAAGCACTACAAGCCTCCTCCTCATGAAAGCACAGGGCAGGCACGGATCAGGATGGAGAAGAGATGCAGCAATGCCCAAACACTCCCATCCCGCCCCACTGTGCTGTATTCTGAGCACACAGCATCTTAAAGCAAGGTCTATGCGTCATTGCTGGAGAAGAGAAAAAAGGGGCCTGAGCAGCATCAGAAGCCATAAAGAAGGGCTAGAGGTCAGGGATGAGAGGGCAAGTCAGATATGAAGGAAGCAAAGGAGCAAGGTAGAAGCTTAAAAGCAAGGACACAGGCATAAAACTTGCTTCAGTGTGGGAGTAGTGAGCAGGAAGGTTCAGATTATCAGGTCAAGAAGGTAATTTTAACTTAAAGGAGTTGGAGCAGGTGCTGTGCTTGCTGAAGAGGCCAGCAAGTAAAGGCAAGAGTGAAAATACTCTGCATGGAGTCACAGACAGAGCTGCTTGCTTATAACCTAATGAAAAGGTTTCATTTTGGAGCTATAGAAGGAAAAACTCACTCGCATTTAGACACCACTCAGATGCAAAGAGAGAGAAGGGAAGGAATCACTTACTAGGTGCAAGACTTAATGGTGGGGAAGATACTGGCATCACCCCAATGAACATGGTGGTGTGAGGATACTGTCCTTTAGCTTCTCTGTTGATTTTTACCTCCTGATGTATTCAGAGATGCCGATCATTCACCACCAGCCCCTGGTGAGCAAACCCTGCCATGGAGTTTCTTAAGCATCTCTCAATCTGCATCCAAACTTCTTGTTACAGGGAGGGCTGAAACTTGTCAGTTCAACCCATATAGGATCAGGGATTGGAACACAGCAGAAATGAAGCCACTGGTATTGTGGTAAAAACTAGTAGACTTATGCATGCAACAGCTAAGGAAAGCCTGATTTCATGTGGGTTTAGCTCATGGCTGGATTCTCTGATGTCTGTTAAGATACAAACATCCTCCCTTATTTGGAGCACATTTAACATCTCCCATGGGGAGCTGTGAGCATCTAATTAGATTTGAAATAAGATGCGAAGTCGTGTTGCATCATCTCCCTCCACGAAGGGTCCATCAGGGTTTCCTGCTGCTGTGCCAGCCACCTCGTTCTGCAGAGGCACAGGATACAACCCCGGTGACTCTCCCCTCCACTGACCTGTGCTCACACGCAGCTCCACACGCCCTGGAGCCAGCAGGACCCCAGCTGTCAGGAAGGCAGGCGGGGAAGGTCTCGCTGTGCTGCTCAGTGGGAGCGGGGCTGCATTACTGCAGGCTGAGCTCAGCACCCTGGGAGCAGCGCAGGTCCCTGATGAAAGCAGCTTACCCAGCACCCACCTCAGCCCCGAGACTCCGACCCGGGCAGGGAAGAGTCCTGAGTAAGCACAAAAGCCTTGAAGTCAGAGAAACAAAAACCAGGAAAAAGCGCTTCAAAGAGGGGAATTCCCAAGGGTTGAGTTCCACCTGCAGAGCCAAAAACTCCTCCGGGTCATCCTGAGCAGAGCAGCCCCACACCGGAGCTGAGAACACGTGTGTCCTGGGCAGAGAGCAGAGCAGCAGCCACAGCACCACAGCCCAAGCACCACTGGACACACAGTGGGAGAAGCCACGTGAGGACAAAGGACCATTCCTGGAGAACCACCAGCACCCTAAGGGACACTCACCTGGGCCATGGCTCCCAGATGCCTGCAGACATGAAATCTGGTCTGCCAGCATGGAGCAACTACCACACAACTCCAGCCTTACTGTGCCTTTCCACCACACTGCTCTTCACTGGGCTCACCAGCAGCCTGGATCCTGCTCTCCAGACCCCATTCCACAAGGAGCAGCGCTCTGCAAGCAGGAGATGGTGGGAAGCAAACTCAAACTGCCACCCCCAAGCCACACCATGATCAAACAGAGCAGCAGCACCCAGCTGAACCAACTCCTCCTCAGTAAAGCAGAGGAACCCTCACAGTGGTCCGTTACACACTCACAGAGCCCCCAAGCAGTGGTTTTATACCCACGTTGGCTGTGCTGGCTGAGCTGCAAGCTCTGCTCTGGGCTGCAGCACTGCCAGAAGCACCTGGAAACACTAAGGGGTGATGCATCCTTGCAAGCAGTGTATTTGCATCTGTGTTTAATGAGGTA